GCTGGTCTTGAACCCCTGGGCTCAGGCAATCTTCTCACCTATGCCTCCCAAAGTGCTGGGATGACAAGTGTGAGCCATCATGCCCAGCCAAGATTCTGTAAATATAATTTTGATTTTCCATCTATTAGAAGTTCAAAAAGCAAGGCACACCCTAAACTGAAAGTAACACACATGACAGTGTGAGCAGCACGTGGAAGGGACAGAACATGGACATTCTAAGCACGTGGAAATGAACGTCTAGTGAGAGTTAAGCCCGCTCTGAAAGCGGTACAAAGAGGAACAAGACTAGACAGAAACACAATCTGACAAGAACCAAAGAACCTGTCACACTCGATGACGGTCCCGCCACACCACGGATCACTGAACAATTATGAAAAGTGGTGTAAAACTCGCTGACTGAGAAGCCCATGGCAAAAAGTGAAAATGGCATCAACTGTACTGCAGTGACCTCTCATCTTCTGGGAGGACCTCTGCGTGGATGCAAGACAAAAATGTCGACACGTCGCCTGAAGTGAGGACACGTGCTGTGTGGATTCTATCGATTCAGGTCCCCGAGCTCTGAATATGCCACGCACATGACTGTTTTCACTTTGGGGAAAGGTCAGATGTGGGGAGAGGGAAGGAAGTGTGGACGCCACCTAGAATCGCCCACAGGTCACCCTGCCACGCAGCTCTGGTGTCTGGTCTATCTGAAAGGTGTTCTTCCTGACAGTTTTGTTTCCCATCCTCCTGCCTGGAGGGGAGAGGGAACCACGTGGACACCTTGTCACTCCTGCACGACCCTTGCCTCCTGCTAGTTTTGTTGCTGGAAACCAATTGCTGCTGATCTCGTAGATTGGTGTCTGTTGGCTCAGCTTAAGCCTCGCACCCCGGCTTGGGAGGCTCCTTCATTCCTGGACTCACCTCATCTGAGAAGCCACCTGTGTGGGCGGAGGGTGCTGGCGCGGTCACATTGCCGCGGGGGCTAGCGGGGCAGTCTGCCAAGGCGGTGTTGGGGCTTGTCACTGCCACTGCACGACCCTTGCTCCCAGAACAGCATGACGAGGACGTGGACATGCTCGAGCAGGCCTCCTGGGCGTTGCTCCTGCTGCCACACCTTGAACGGGACCCTCCAACCCTGAAGGGGCCTCCCAGGGCACTCTCCACTTAACAGTGCCCCTGTGAGAGCCCCCTCCTGCCCCCCCCCAGACACTTTGCTCAGGTCCTCCTGAACTCCTCATCCCTCTAAGGCCCTCTCCAGGCGGCAGCCAGACCGCTGGCTGCCCCCAAAGCCCCTCCCCTCTCTGTCCGCACGCTCCCACAGGCCCTCACCCACACACTTGGTGCGCAGTGACTACATGCCCTTGTGTTGCCTGGGCACCACGGCCATGACAACGGACAGGCTGTGCGCCTCCTAGGAGGGACCTCTTGTGGACGGCTCATCTTGCTTCTTCGAGGTGGGGAGTCAAAAACCATCAGGTCCGAGCTTCCTCTTCCAATGCCTGTGATCACAGGTAAAGCCCCACAGCCCGACACCCACGAGCGGCACCATCCTAACTCGGAGGCTGTCTGGCAGTCTTCCCTAGTCCTGTCGAGAAAACAAGCCAGAACCAAGCAGTAAAAGACAGTAAAAGCTACAGAACCCAGGAAGGAACCACCACCACGACTTCAGAAAGCCAAAGATTCAGGCATGGTGTCTCCTGCCTGTAACCCCAGCACTTTGGGAGGCCGAGGCGGGAGGATCCCTTGAGCCCAAGAGTTGGAGATCAGCCTGGGCAACATAGTAAGACCTCGTCTCTAAAAAAAGTTTAAAAACTAGCTGGGCTGTCTATCGCTTCAGGTACTCAGGAGGCTGAGGCAGGATTATCCGAGTCCAGGAGGCCAAGGCTGTGGTGAATCATGATAATGCCACTGCACTCCAGTCTTACCAACAGAGATCAGACTAAAAATAAAAACAAAACAACTATTCTATGCCAGGCACGGTGGCTCATGCCTGTTAATTCCAGCACTTTCGAAGGCAGAGGCGATTACCTGAGCCCACAGGTTCAAGGCCAGTCTGGGCAACCTGGTGGGACTTCATTTCTACAACAAAAATAAAAAAAATTAGCTGAGTGTGGTGGTGCGCACCTATAATCCCAACTACTTGGAAAGCTGAGGCAGAAGGATCACCTGAGTCCAGCAGGTTGAGGTTGCAGTGGCTGTGAACATGTGACTGTAACTCTAGCCTGGGTGACAGAATGAGACTCCAAAAAATAAAAAGCCAGACTTGCCAGTGTCCTGGAGTCCTCCCAGCCCCTCCCAATCCTCCCTGCACCAACCCCACCTTGTCTCCAATCCCAAGTCTCTTTTCCTTTCTTGGGGTTCCCATGGAGCACTTAAAAGCCAGGGAACCCTGCCCCTGCAAATCCACCACACTGACCAGGACAGCGAGGTGCATCCAGTGATGTGTGTACTGTTGGGAAATCTGACCCGCTCGACCCACCCAAGGTGAGACTAGGGCATAAACTCCAGAGGAGCCAGCACATTCACCTGTGGGCCTAACTGAAGAGGGAAGGGGACACTCTGGAAAGCAGCACCCTATAGGTGCGAGTGCAGAAGGCCCCAGGCCGGAGCACTGCAAGACTGGCAAGTGCCCTCAGGCAGTAAGGACAGGAAGCTATGACCAGGCGGGCTCTCCCAAAAGGCCTGAGCACATTCCCTCCCCAGCAAGCTGCAAGTTGCTACCAAGTGCTGAAGGGCTTGGGATGGATACTGCTGTCCCAGCAGTGCCTTCGTCTCAAGTTATCTTGCTGACGGGACAGCTGCAGCAGCATAGCCAAAGGCACTGCCCAGGAAGCTCAGCCATAGCCAGGGAGAGCCTACATCGACGCTCAACCCGACTCCTGGGTTCCCAATCTGTTTTTATAAAGGAAACCAGATCTCTGCACCTGAACCTCAGGTGACCATCATCAGCAGGAAACCAGCGCCCTCTGGAAGGATAGAGTATTTCTGGAAATCTCATCTTTCTTGGACATTTGGATAGCTATGACCAAAAACACAGTTTAAAAACTGGCTCTAAGCCGGGCTCAGTGGCTCAGCCTGTAATCCCGTGCCTTTGGGGGCTGAGGTGAGTGGATTGCTTGAGCCTGAGGGTTCGACACCCGCCTGGGCAACTTGGCGAGACCTCATCTCTACAATAAATCAAAAAATGAGCCGGGTGTGGTAGCACGCGCCTGTAGTTCCAGCTACTCGGAAAGCTGAGGTGGAAGGATCGCCGGAACCCAGCAGGTCGAGGCTGTGGTGGCAGGGAGCGGCCAATACACTCCTGTCTGGGTGACAGACTCCAACTCAAAAAAAAAAAAACTGGCTCTGGCACAAAATGAAACTGCTTTTCAAGAACATTTTCCTCCTGCTGACCTTGCCAACGCCTTGCCTGTTATCTACATAAACCACATGAATGATGCTTCTTCCTAGCGCTTTTGTTCCCAACATGCTACTACAGTAACCATTTACTTCATGCTTTCATGGCTCCCCCATCTTACACCAGATTTTTTTGAAATCGAGGGCAAATTCTCTCCGTTTGTATACAACTGGATGGTACTGTCCTCCCCCCTCCACACGAGAGAATTGGAACTATTCCATACTTCCTGCAGCAAATACCAGAGATGATTCAGAACATCCAGGCAAAGTAGAAGCAATATATTTTGCAACAATTATTCTTCCAATGATTGACTTGTAAATTCTCTCCCAACCCATGTTAAACAGGTAAGTAGCTTTCAAACTTGGATACATAGAAGATTCAGGTCAACACCACACTTGCATTCTACACAGGGTTACAGACAACACATATACCTTAAATCAAGTCTGAAAAGGTTTCAAGGCTTCATCCCGTTTTGGGGAAAAAACTTCATCTCACACAGGCTGTTAAAATCTGGTTCTAAATGCAGCACAGAATATACAGCAATTCAGATCTGTAAAGCAACTCTACTGACACCAGTTAATAAGAGTAAGAACTTGATCCAATTTCACCCTAACTCGTCTCCCATTTATCTAGGTGACCCTTTCTATACCTCTTAAGAAAGGAAAGTGATCACCCCAAGACAACCAGTCATGTAGAGAAAACTTTGGTAAACTGGACTATAGTGCTCATAAAAGAAAAATAGCTCTTAATTTTAAGATTTCTAACTGCTACCTTGTGGTGTTGAGGGATCACACTCCTTATCAGGCAAGACATACCTCATTCATTTTTAAATGTGTAAAACATACAAATATAAATTAAAGGCCTAATGTGGTAAGTTTCCCCACCAGCCTACCATCACTGAGAAGCCCATTCTAACTGCCCCTTGCTGCAGCATCCCGTCTGTCGACTTGCATCACCTACAAAACAATCCTTAGAAAAAAACAGCCATCAAGAGCTGTAGTGTGTTCAGCTTAAATCCTTATCTTCAAGACATCTTAGACATCTTTAAAGCTTGAGTACTTGAAAGCAGCGGGTGAACACGAAACACCTTCCTAGAGTCTCAACTTTACACTAAACATCCGACGTTAAAACAAAAAGTATAAAACTTATACTCATTTTGAAGTTAATAATTTTCTCTAGCTCCCGTCAACTGAGTTCCATCCGTTTGAAGTTCTACAATAAAACATGGTCACCTTTGCAATAAAACAAAAGTATAACCCTTAAAATATCTATTTGTTATGTACAAACTACACATTTGTATTGATAGGTCACGGGTTTTGAGCAAGTTCTTCCCTTGGTGACACTACCTAGCCAAAACGAAGGTGGGACAGACCTTATTTCAGCTCAGCTGTACTATCAGTATTCACACCACTTCACTCCTGACCAGCCAGAACACCGCTGACCTGTCATTGTTTGAGACATGATTCAAATGTACAAATAAAAAGGAGACACAGGGTCAAATTAACTTAATTAGATTCCAAACTAAGTGATAACAGCAAGGCAATTTAAATATCAGCATGGCATACACTTTCCTATTGCAGTGGTTTTAAATGCTCACAAACAAGGGATACAGTTCACTTGCTGAGATATTTGAAATACAACTTTATTCTGATTCTAAACGAAAGGAATGGGAATGACAGTAACAAACAAGACTCCACCACGGAATATTGTGATGTGACTGTAGCAGTCTTATATTTGAAACTCAAGAAGGAATCAACTGCGTTCCCAAACAGCTAAATATGCAGGTCCAAACAAGGAAGGTATTTTTTTTAAACTGCCACATTCACTCCGAAGCCCATTCATCTCCTTCAGCATCCCACAGATGAAGCACATGTTCCGCTTAGCTAGGTAATCAAGTGGCACACACGCTGCACCGCCGACATCACAGGACAGCTGCCTATAAAACTAGACTTCTGACGCTGGGCTCCAGCTTCGCTCTCACAGGTCATCATCCTCATCCGGAAGAGCAGTTGTCTGAGCGACCTAGGGAGATACGTGAAAGAACGGTCACACCGCGGACTGAGCTGGTCGGAACCCAGCAAGCCAAGCAGCTGTCACAGCAGAGTGGAAGCACTACCTCTAAATCGTGCTCATACTGGGCCGCCAATGCAGGGTCCATGACGACCTCTGGGGGAGCAAGTGCAGGCATGGCCACAAACTCCAAGTTGGGGTCTCCAATGAGCTTCCTGGCGAGCCACAGGAAGGGCTTTTCAAAGTTGTAGTTACTTTTGGCAGAAATGTCATAGTACTGTTCAAAAGAAAAGCAGAATTAATTTTTCAAATCCCACAGCTAAAATGACAATTCTTCTAAGGATACTTCAACTACAAGACAAAACTCTTTCAGCCCATACTTAGATGACTTCAACCAACATCAGTCTCTTGTTCCACCTTCTCCAAGGCTCACATCTCAGTTCAGGAAGTTTCAACTCACACACACCTGAAGGTTCTTCTTTCGGTGGAAGACAATAGACTTTGCCTTCACTTTCCTGTCCTTGATGTCCACTTTATTGCCACACAACACAATGGGGATGTTCTCACATACTCGTACCAGATCTCTATGCCAGTTGGGCACATTCTTGTAAGTGACTCTTGATGTCACATCAAACATTATAATGGCACACTGGGCTGGAAGAAAAATGCGTGCTAATTAGTACAGATGTAGGCATTTACTACATGGGTTAAGAATACTTAGACCTCACTCTGAGTCACCAAGGTCTCCCCTCTCCATCTCAAGGCCTTTCAATTGCAGAAGTGTTAAAAGTACCACAACATACAACATAGATTACAGCCCCTTTTCATAAGCTTGCAAGACCAGTTCACTCTATCAAATCTCTTCCCCCACCCTCCCCCAACCACCCCATCCTCCAAAAGTATCTGAAATGGAATAAGTCCACGATCCAGAGGACCCACCTCCATGTTCTGAGTGTGGGGCCTGGAAAGGCACTCTTTAAAAGGTCTTCAAGTGGCGGAACTCGCCAGAGACCAGGCCTCTACGTCTACCCAGGCTCAAGTCTGCTACTGACCTCGGGAGACAGCCAAGCTCAGACCAGAGCAGGAGCAGAGGCTCGACTTTTTGATTAAAGAATGTGCGGAGGGGCTTGTTTGCTTTCTTCACCCTCACGGAAGCCAAAAAGGCGCGGAAGAGTTCGGAATCGTCTTCCATAGACCAGGAAGACGTTCCCCCAGACCGGCATTTCCTTCCTCCGCCTTTTGGACCTCGCACCGAACATCCACCTTCGCGACGGCTTTCGGGCCAGGCCTTCTCAAGCAGCACCGGGCAAAAGGCGTGACCCGCAGCCAAGCCACCGGCCGGTGCCCGGCACTCGGGACGTTCGTGACGCCTCCTGCCCGTCCCGGGGCCGCGAGTCCCGGCCGAGTCCGCGCCGGCGGAC